TAATTTAGATTGTACTTCTTTTAAATAATTTATGATTCTGCTTAAAGTCCATAAAATATAAGTAAAAAAACACTTTAACGGTAAACGGAAAATAGAAAATATTACATCATTAACAACCAATAGAACTATGGTTCGCAAAAAAGTTCGCAGTTCACCGACTACCTCATGAAAATGATGAATGATTATGAAATAAATATTAATCAACACCTAATTTTAATTTTTATATACACACATAACCTCATTCTAGCTAACTTTTTTTTTGAAAAAAATATAAATGAAAATTATTTCTTTAGAGCAAATCAATCAAATTTTTTTCAATTCCAATCAAATTAAACAAATATACAAAGTTATGAAATTTTTTTCAAAAAAAAAAAAAAGGTAATAAAGATAATAAAGATAAGTGAGAACAATATTTTATTTCGAAACGGGACAATTAAAAGCAGCAGTAATCCGTCAATCGTAAAACTTTCAAAATGATGAAAAATGTAGGCTATCTACAGTCTAAATATGTTCAAACATTAAACTCTCAAAAAAGTAACAAACCCATAGAAACTACGCGCCCTAACACTAATACACCATTAAAAAAAAACAGCTGAATAAAATTTCTTATAAGTGTGTTTATTTTAAAATACTTCTGCTTAAGTCTAACCTCTATATTAATAAATTAATAATGTTAATAAATAACTACCACCAAATTTGAAATTAAACAAAAAATTGTATGGATCTTACAACTCATACAAAAAATATCCTAAAACAATTTGGCAACATTTGTTGATAAATTGGGATAATTAGCAATATGGGAATGTAGAGCAAACTTAAATATGTCATATGGATCAGCACTTTTTCTAGTTCTAAGTTCCTTTTTTAACTAACATCATTTTATCTCATTTTGGATGATTGATTTTTCTTATATCATTTCTTACCTTTTTTCTTTACATTAAACACTATTAATAATCAAAGTAAAGTTATAAAAATAAGAATTTCTTTGAACATATTACTAAAAATGCTTTTCTAAATAAGAAAAATAATATTTTAGATTAAAAATAAAATCATCAAACTGTAAATAGCATCACAAAATTCTAGTAATATATTCAATTAAATAAATAAATTATTGTCCTAATATGCCTCACAAAAGTAATTTTACTGAAATTAATACTATTCAAAAAGTTAATTCCAAATATTTATTTAAAACCAGATTCTAAAAGAGGATAAAAAAATACTGTCTGAAAAATATAAACTTTTTATAAATAAAACCAATTTTGGATAGTTTAAGATAAATCTTTTGTCGTTGTATCGCGAAAATACGCAAATTTTGTTTTTCGTAAACTTGCTAGTACTTTTAATGCATTTTGGTATTTCTAAAATTATTTTTTTTTTTACAATAATAAAGCGCAATAATATAAAATGTTTTACAAAAAAAATATTTGAGAAAAATTTGTTTTAGCTGAGATACAAGGCTTAAGGCATAACTGTCCCATTATACCCCACTGTCCCGATAAGCCCCGCTCTACCCTAATCCTTTTTACAAGGTTGAATCCATAGGGTTACTTCTCCCCACTCGTTTTTGAATATTTTTATTTAGAAACCTATATATTTAACTTAGCATGTTGTTTAAAAACATAAGTAAATTTGGGGGGCCTGTTTAAAAAAGGCAAGAAACTTTAATAGACATGTGTGATGCAAACTTTAAATTAAGGGGCTGCAAGCTTACAAATTAATGAATTCAAAAATTACCCCTTAATAGATGGTCTGTATTTGAAAAATTGAAAATTTCCTTCCTACAAATATGATTTGGATCCAGATTGCCCTGACAAGTTGTTAGCTTGTGTTATTCAGGTTTCTGGCAAACTGTTATTGTACTATTGGGGTTAAAACCTGTTTTGAAGAATTTTAAAGGATTCAAAAACCAAAATACATATAGTAATACATAAATGGAGAGTTAAAACTTACAAAAAATTAGACAATTGTGATTTATTCAAATATGAATAACATCAAATCCAAATAAACATAGTTTTACTTTATTATTGTTACATATTATTTTCTATATTTTATTCCACCATCAATTACAATTTATTCCTGTGTTTTTGGTGACCGAGACATAACCAGGCACAACTTTAAAGGGGTTTTTTATTAATTACGTCAACAACTTTTTAGGGATTTTTAACTCAACCTCCTCCCCCACTCTGCCTATTTGCCAAACCTCAAGAGACAACATTTGATTACCTCTTTCCCCCTAAACTAGTTAGTTAACGTTAGTTGTCGTTACAAACGACCACTAACGCTGCCTCAAATCCTTTTTCTTTAATTAAATAAATTTATTAAAAAAAGTAAAACTCTTGACGTCAACTTTTCTTGACCTTCTACTCTCCCCCTTATAAACAATTGTCAACATATTTAAGAACCCTCCTCCCATAATTTTTGACATTATTAATGTAAAGCCCAATGATAAAAATGACCATAATAGCTGTTCTGTGTAAAAAAAAGCTGAAAACCTATCATTACTTTTAAAGCAGGGGACTTGCACAATCTCTTAACACATTCCATGCTTCTAATTTTACTAAGCATGTGTTTTTCTTAGAGTTTAACACGGCATAAAGTTATCCAGGGTAATCAAAAAAAAAAAAAGTTTAATTTTGTCAAAAAAACGTTAGTCTAAAAATTGAACAATTTGACAATTAAACCTGTATTTTTGAAAAGGGCACAAGTCCATTTATCAAAACTTTTAATAATTAACGAAAAACATAATTTTTATTAAAATAATGTCTACACGGCAGAGAAATTAAATATAAAAGTAGATAAATAAAGAATCTATATAACTTATGTAACGTTCATTTTTTATAAAAAAAAACATAAATTATGCAGAAAACTTTAATTTAAATTTATAATCTAACTGTTAAAAGTTTTGGACTTGTGTCCTTTTTGAAATGACAGGTTCAATTAGTTGTATAATACATGTTTTTAATAAGCAACGAGTTTATAAGAAACTAGCATTAGAAGTCCCAAAATTTAAGAAACTTTTAGTAATAAGTTGAATAAGAAATTTATTTAAGAGTTGGAAGAATATACTTTTCAACTTTTACCTACTTATCACATTAAGATTACAAGAAATTTTGAGTATTTCATTTACATATGCAATCTAATGGAATTCTATTTGATTGCAAATAAAATGAAAAATGAAAAACAAAAACTATAGAAACTTTTAAGAAACTTTAAAATAAGAAACTTTCTAATACTAACCCGTTTGCTTTGTTTTGCTTTATATTAAAAAAAAGCATAATCATTAATAAATTTTCAAAATATTGTTAAAATATTTCACAATAGAAATAATAAAATAATACAAAGAATAAAACTGAAAACATAATTTAACATTATAACTTAACAAAATGTAAAAAATGTTGTTTATTAAACTACATTAGAATTTATAAATATGTAGATTTTATAAAACGCTGACCTTTTCTGGATAACTGATTAAAACTCAGCATTCAGCGTCTAACTTATAAACAAAAAAAAACTTATGAAAATGCTATAGATATTATTATTCAGCAAAATTCAGTAACTAAATAATTTAAAATATTTAGGTGCTATTGTAATAAAGACTGTGAATAGTGTTTGTCGCATAAGCATCTGATTCATCTGAGCTCATTTTGACTATAAGTTTAACGACCAAAATATACAGTCTTCAACCGAAAAGGTTTTGTTGTGGCTGTTGCTTCTAATCCAATACACAACAACAAAAAACGTAAAGGGGGACTAACTCTAAGAGTGCTTTACAAATCATGATTATTTTATTCAAGGTGGACACCTTCATAAAATTAATAAACCATTGATGACATTTTCTTAAAATTTTAATAACAACTACACTTGGTAATAGTTAAAAGAAAAGTTAAAGCAGAAGTTAATCACTGTTTATAGGTGTTTCACATCACAAATGCCAAAATTAAAACTATTTGCAACAAATTTTTTTGGTGTTTTCCAAATATTCAAATTTAAGACACCGAGACTTGGTCCAAGCTATTAGTTTAAATATCCGAATGTTCATTAAAACATATTTTATTATTATGTTAACTCGTGTTGCTCCTTTAAAAGCATCTTGTGAAATTTTTTTATATCATAAAAACATTGTAACGTATTTTTTAGAATCAATAACATCATTTTTTGACAGTTTTTTATGATGAAAAATTTTTCATGTTTTCAATCGCTGGAATTAATTAGTACTTTATCAGAATAAAATGTCTATTAAAAATAATTTCGCTATGCCAAACAAATATAGATCAATATAAAACAAAACTGTCAATAGACATTGGTTTTAAAAAGGCTCCAGTACATTTAAACTACATTAATGATGTTTTGGAATCAATGTTCGCACATTCAAGTTTTGCCATTTATTTACTTTGTCAACAAATAGCTAAGCCGGCTTAGCTATTTGCGTAAAATTCCAAATTTTTGGTACCAAAATATATATATTGGTACCAAATTAAAATCGTTCCTGCTTACGACTCTACCAACTATCAACATAATAATAATAATAATAATAATAATAATAATAATAATAATAATAATAATAGCAATAATAATAAAAAAAAATAGAAATATCTATAATATTATAAATAATAAAATCATAATACCATTATTAAGATATAACTGAAATAAATAATTGGTTGACATGGAAGGAGTCAGTCATGCAAAAACCTTATTAAAGAAGTAACAGCAAATAATTATATTATTAATATTAATTTAAAAAGTATTAACAATAACAACTGTACATTATTATAGACCGCACAACCAAACACCTCACCTTATCACCAAGCTATTAGAAGCTTACGCTAAAATCTAAAAATACATTTTCAATAAAAGTGTGTAACGATTGTTATTAATTTGCCATTACTCTTCCTTGCTACCTTATCCCGTCCAAAATAAAACACTACAATTTTTTAAGTTTTGTTTGAAACTTACTAATGGTCTTATACATATTCAGCTAAAAAAATGATAATTCGGTTTACCTGGCCACTCCATAAGATCATTTTTGTATACATATTTTGTTTCTTTTCCAATAAATATATATTGAGAACCCTGTTTTACTACATTATTTATTTTTTTAATGCACCACACATCTGTGGAATTGTTTTCAATTGTTTCTACTTTGGAGTATAAACCATTATTGTATTCTAAAGTAGCATTTTCTCTTTTATTAGTTCGAATATTTCTTACGACGTCATTGAGATTTGATGACAGTTTGTTGCTTGAAGTAATCCATAATAAAAATGGATAGACAAAATCGTACCATCTGTAGTAAACCTCTTTTTCTTCGCCTACGGGAATTAATATATTATTCTGCCTGTAAGGAGGCAACCCTTGTTTTAATTCAAAGGCTAAACGACACAAATTTGAAGTTATATCACACACAAGGCAGTCAGAATAACTAAGAAAGTACAAATCTAATAACGTACTTTCTATTATTTCTTTTGGGAAATTTTTCCGTATATAGTTTCCTAAGGCATTAGATAAATAACTTGTTGGAAGACCTGTTATAAAAGTGCCTGGCGTTAGTTTGTTAACATACTTTATTGCAGGTATATCGTCTGTTGCAATATAAATGCGTTTGTTGGTGACATTGTGTTTTTCAAAAAAATCATTTGCTTTTTTTACAAAAACATCTTCGTTGATATAATCTGCTTCTTTACTAGTTATCTTATCACCATGTCGGATGTGAAAACCAACTATAGGTGAAGCATAATTAATTTTCTTTTTCATTTCAGAAAAAGTTACGTTGAACTTGTTATTTGATCTTAAGAGCAGATAAGCTAAAAACTGCGAAGTAAACCAAAGCCAGGGAGTTTTAACACCAAGATCAAGTAAATTTTGCTTTAATTCTTCTGGTATTGTACCAGGTATGTGTCTCGGATAAGGAAATTTTGTGCCTACCATGTTAAACTCAATAATGCGATGGGTATTGTTGATATCATAGCCGTTCTTTAAATAACACGAAGGGTCTTGCGCATTGCAAACTTGTGTTTTGTCAATAAAAGTCGCTTTTTTCAGAAAACCACACTTTAATGATTCAGGTTTAACCCACTGAAATACGCCATCAAAGTGACTATATTCATCTTGTTGAATAAAAAACATCCTACCTAATCCATATGCTACTTGCATGCAAACACCATACCTGTGTACGTTAGATCCAAAACCGCTAAAGGCTTCCAGATTTCGACATAATAATATTTTTTTTTCCGTACAGTTACCGTCTTCCTGTAAGCTATGTATTTGCTGTCTAATAAAATAATGTATTTCTTCCAAGGATTTGAATTTGTGTTTAAAATCTACCTTTCGAAAATGATTTTCAATAGGCGACACTAGAATACTCTTTAATCTGTGGGCAAATTTTAAGTCATAAAGTATAAAAAAAGTTATTGTTGAAATACAAAGTAAAGTGATGACAACTTCTGTGTTTCTATTTCTCATTTCTTTTAATGAAAATAAAACAAAATTATCGACAATC